TCCGAGAGATTCCTGCACTTAGGAAATAACCAAGATTCARTGTTTTCCACATAAAGGAGCCGGTACACGAGCATCATGTGTACTCTTCGGGCAAATCTAATGCCTTTTCCTTGGACTCAAGTCTAGTTTCAAATGTGAATTTCACATATTATGAAAAGTTTGGGTTAGCTTGTGTTGTGTTCCAGCTTTCAAAAAACTTACATAATATCCCCAATTCCAAGCACCTTTATCCTAAGATAAGTTGTTTTAATATTTCAGAAGCTGAGCATTTATGGAGACTTGGAATACATGAATGAACAAAAAATGAACAGATATCCATCCTCTGCCCTTGTTGTGGTTAGATGCAAGACTGAGGAACATGAAGAAGCAGGACCTCTTCCTACAAAAGTTAATTTGGCTCAGTCAGCAATCTGAATAAGTCTTCGCTGGATTCAATAGACTAATTCTAACAGTGCTAGCAACTCCTGATTGTGGTGGTTCTTCAGATAAGAAGCTTAACAGCCAGTCTTTAAATGCAAATAAAGCTACAGAATCAACAAATGTCATGGGATCTTGTTTTCAGCTAGCCGTGAAGATTCAGACCTCCTGAATTTGTTTGTTTCCAGGCATAATCACTTCTCCCTGGTGTTGGCTCTGTGTCTTTCTGCTTACAGGATCCGTAAGCAGTGCTTCCCGTGCTTCTGCCATGACACTTTCAAGCTTACTTGTGTGTTCTAAGATGTAATGTGTACATTCAGACTTAGCTTTGTAAAGATATAAGAAATTCTAAGTAGGCAGGAGATGCTATTTTTTTTTTTAGCGTTGCACTTTCTGTTGTAGTTAAAAGAGAATATTATAAAACTATCTACTGTTTTTTTTATATATATACACTTGTTTATGTCCATGCACAAACAACCCTTTCTCCAAAATTAGATATACTTTTTTTTTTTCTTATGGTGTGGTAATATCGAGGATACAAAATGTTTGTGAGGTACTGTAGATTAGAACTCAGTTTGTCAAAAATGGGAACTTCTAAAACTTGTGCACATATCCTTTCACAGATATAGAACATAACATGGTTAATTATTCTGTCAAACTTTAGCCTTCAAGTCTTAAATTGCTTGTAAAGTTAGAGCTTGTGTTTTCTGGAGAAATTTCTTCCTTCTGTTTTTGATTAACTCCTCTAGACTTGTAACTTCATTTGCAGAAACGGGTTGATTTCTGAGAAATGAGAACGGACAAATAAAATTGACTGTATGTRAAGTGTTGACTGTATAGCTTTTTGCTACGGTTAATTATGGCCACAGACCACTTGCTGGGAAGGCCTGTCTGTAACATTCCTCACRTAGGCAAGGTGACCTCATTTTGCTCTGCAGTTCAGTAATGTGGCAAGACCTAGCTGCATCTCCCCACCATATACCTACTATATATTTTTTTTGCAGTTTTTAAGTAAGATATCCTGGCTCCCATTGCATTTACAGTTTGAAGACTTAAATATTTTATTGCAACGTCTCTGTAAGTGTTTGAAAGTTTGCTCAAATTTGTGATTCCCCTACTCACTGTCATGGAAATATTTTGTTAGTTATAGAAAACTGCCTTAAAGGTTTGGGAAAGAACTTGTGATAATGGTATTTTAGGGATTCTGGAGGATACAGTATGTTGTTCTGCTGTTGTTAAAACTACCTTAATCATGCCTAATTTGGCTGTGATGCTGATGGTTGTGCGACTACAAATGATGGATTGCAGGGTTCMTTAAGCAGGAATATATATTAAGTGATCTGTGTAGGGCTGCTAAAAACCGCGYGGAGCCTACACGCACTTGAGTGGTTTTTTTTTGTTAATAATGTTTTAAGAGGGTTGAAAAATGTATTTTAACCAGTCTTGTATCAAAACGCAGAAATCTTAATTTGCAGTCTTTAATGGTTGTTAAATTCTGGACGTTAAATTGTTTTTCAGYGTGGCAGCATCGTGGCCCAGAAACGGGGGTGCCAGCAGCCCTTGACAGGTACCTGKGTCGCGAGCACTATTGCCAAGGCCTCAAATGCCCCTGTAGTTTTGGGGATTGACTAAATGACGTTTTCAGAGCACTGGTTGCGGGACACAGTGACGTGTCTGTGGTTACGGTGATTCAGTTCTCAGTCCTTCATTCCTGCTGCTGTTCTGCAAACATCACTGTACGTCACTGCGGCCCYGCTGCGGGACCAGCTGCCAGGGTTCTGCTTCAAGCAGTAACAAGTGCAACTTATGCAAAGGATGTTCAAAGATCAGTTTGTGAGTAGGAGCTCTCCTTTGGTGGTGATTTCTGAAATTTCTTCTGCTAACCTTTTCAGAAGAGAAATCCTCATCTAGAGAGCAGTCCCCATGTCCTTTTCTAACACAGCGAATGTTTTTGGACTCTGCTGAAAATATTTGTGTTTTTTCCTCTTTTTCTATTACATGTTGTTACAGGAGTGTTTTATAGCTTTCTGAAAACCTTGTTATTTGTGTGTTTCACATGCATATAGTACAGCTGCTGTTACACTGGTGATTTGTGATTGGAGAATAAGAAACTTTCCTTTGGTTTCTGAATCAGTTGACTTAAAATACTGCTTGAATTCCTAGTTTAGGATTAAACAACTGCTTTATTTCGAGTTGGAGCTACTCACACCTTCACAACAAAGAGGAGACAACAAGCAGATCTAGAGGTTTTATGTCTTTTGTTCACAGCATAGTGACTTCAGCTAAGTAGTAAGTATGGAGAAGGCAGTGATTCAGTTCTGTGCTGTTAGGTCACAGGGAGCTGCTTGTGCGTCTGTAGCAATCTGTCACTTGGCACTGCTGTCCACAGAGTGAGCCAGAAGCTGAAGAATTCTGGAAGTTTTGTAGCATAAGCTCTTGTCAAGCAATCTTCAGTAAGATCAGATACTATTAAGACTGTAATAATAGAACTGTTTCTAAAGATCTCTAATCTAAACAGTATTAAAACTCTCTTGGCACTTGAATTCACAACTTAGATTGACCTATACATATTTTCTAAACTTTTAACTTGAAATCTTCATCTCCCAAGGATGCAGTTTGGGTTAGATCTCTGCACACAGACCACTGTTTAAATGAAGGCTTAAAGCTTTGGAGTTGCAGGGGGGAGAGATTTTAAGTTCCCTTCGGCCTGTGGTCACGTGAACTTGTGTCACGTTTGAGGTGGAGATATCTGGACACGAGTGGGTCGCCCGTCACAACCCACGTGCAGTTCTCTGCTGGCAGCAACAGCTGAGGTTTGTCTGTTCCTTTTTGAGGCCCTGGAACTAACCATTCAGTTGTCTGTTGTCCTGCATGTGTGTTCCCTCTTCCACGTCTCTCRTTTTAGGCAAAGATTCTGTGCTTCAGAAGGGGTCGCTCATTCTGGGTACRTGAAGTGCTGGGTGCTCCTCGTTTTGCTGAACTAGCAGTCTCTGGCTYTGTGGTGTAACTCGCCTCTAAAGCCTCTATCTGATTAAACTCACTATCAGACAGTAAACCATTTGAAGGCTTGAAATGCACCTGCTCTATCACAACTAATTAGAAACTTAAACTCTGCCTTCAAAGAGAAACAACCGAGATTTAAGGTACGCAGCTTTTAATCCTTAGTCTTTCTCCATATTCCTGTCAGCACGCAGAGCTGGGGCTTGTTTGCTACTAGGTGTTTTCAGGGTTTTCACCCCGTGCTCCCTAGCATATTGAGGCACCTGCCTGTTCCTTTCATGGGTGAGGATGCAGCGCTGCAGCTCAGAGGCACCGTGAGGTGGGACTGCCTTCCACAAGCTGCTGTTTTATGACATGGAGTATATCTTTAAACTCTTCTGCTGAGTATTTTTGGCATCTGGGGCCTTGGTATGTCTGTGTAGCTGGTATTCCTCCCTCTGACCATCTTCTGCAAGCTATAATTTAGTGCTGGTCAAACCAGGGACTGTATTTTAAGCTTTTAGGCCTGGATAATAAGTAGCATGCTGTTCAAGACAGGATTAGCATAGGGGTTCTTGGTGCYAACTTAAAGGCAGTCCAGTTGCCAACTTCTCTGCTTGCACCAAAGGTAGTTTAGGTAGTGCCCAGAAGAGAATCTGTCAGGCAGCAGCAACTTGTAGCCTCTTTCTTGAAGGGGTAAAATTGCCCTCTTGTGCTGTGGTGAAGCCTTCAGCAGTTTGGAAGGGATTTAATCTGCTTCTAAGTTCCTATTAGYTGACCTCGGTTGGGCATCACTGCAGACCAGGAAATGTGACTCCGTGAGGAAAAGGGACCTGGAGAACTTGCTGGGCCTGTGTCCGGTCCCTGGAGGGAAGMGGCTGCGGTTGGTTGTGTCCTGCACAGCTTTGCAGCAGCCTGAGCTTTCCTTGCTGTGAGGCTGGCGTGTTAGTGTTCGGGGAGAGGAGGAGAGAAGACTCGTGTGTGAAGATGGTCTGATCTCCCTTCAACTCCCATTGCATTTCRTTTTCAAGGAGGGCCTTTCTGACTTGTACCAATGTAAATACAAATAAAATCGGYGGGGAATGAGCCTGGGCTCGGGAACATGGAGCAGTCATCTTTCTAATTGGTGTCAGGAGTAGTGAAGATTTTGAGGTTTTGAATCTTCCGAGTCCTTTATCATTTACCTGATCATTTACTTTTATCATTTGCCTTATCATTTACCTGTTCTGCTGGCTGTAGCAGAAGAGCCGGGAGCACACGCAGCTGGCTCTGCATCCTGCCCAGCGTGGGCTGGGCAGCCCTGTTCACCCCGAGTGATATATGTCAGGTGTGGAAAGGTGAGTGAGGGGCCTGCAGCGCTCGTGCAAGGCACCAGCCCCGGGCACCGCGGCCGCTCTCGGCCGGAGCAGCGGGAAGCTCTCGAATTGCCTTTCCCRTTGGCTTTCCTTACCTCTGTTTCTGTTTGTAACCAGGTAACTCTGCAGCATGCAGGGCAATGCTGGCCCGCACCGGAGCCTGCCTTTGCTGCCAGCCTGGTTGGATTCAAGGGTGCAGCAAACTCCCCGGGGTCCTTCTCGCCGCGCTGAGGATTACAGCTCCATGAAGCATGAACAAAACTCACCCCCAGGTATCGTCCTTCCCTTCGGGAAAATCTTACGTGCAACTGTTCCCTGAAGTGTGTGTTTTCCTGCTGTTGTTTTTTGTGCAACCTCTTGATCACTTGTTTCTGGGAAATTTCTAGTTGTTTCTCCTTAGCCTAATTTGGTATAAATGCAAAGTACTASTAATAAGTACTGGAGTAGAATTAGTGCTTATTTTAATGAAAGAGTAACTGAAATTTAAAAGGTAGTTTAATTGCTTCTGAATCAAATCTTTGTCCCACTTCCAGTAAAGTGTTTTTTCTTTGTGTATATAAAGAATAATGAAAGGAATCATATGTTCTTATGTAAGATGACAAACATTAGAAAGACATCAATTGTGTGATTATCATGTGCTGTTCCTGTAAAGTGTGTTTTATTTCTTCTAGAGAGGTGTTCATGTAGCTACTTTTGATTCAACAAAGTCTTTCTCTGAAGCGAAAGGTAATGAATAAAATGCATTMCTTAATGTTTTATTTATTATTTTATTCAGTGGAAGCAATCTCTTTGTGTACAAAYGAATGAAGTCTGTTTAGGAAAGTACAGACTCAAGTAATGATCTACTGAGACTGTGATTTGTTTGCTTTGTTTGTTTGTTTGCTTTGTTTGTAGTGAAATATCCAAAGAGTTTAAAATACATAGATTTAAGCTCCTTGCTCCCACTCTGGAGTGAGCAGTCTTACAGTATTGTACAATATATAATGTTTGGGTCCAGAAAAGACTCAAAATGAACATCTAGGCTTTTGGTATATTTGCTACATTTTTTTAATAGCCAAACTTCAGCAGATCTTGTCCATTTTAATAACGAGAAGGTGAGATCAAATATAATCAGTGGCAAACCTGTATATCAAGTTGCAACAACGTGACTCCATTATTTTTTAGTTTCATCACTCCATTATTTTTTAATTCATATCTGTCTGCAGCTGTTCTGCTTTTTGGTCAAAGATCCTGTCTGGTAGACGCAGAGGTGCTGTAGTGCACTCCTTTAAGCAGAACAGTTCTGCATTTGATTCTTGTTCAAACAAGAAGGGAGGATATGGTCACGGCAGCCAGAATCATTCTGCAGTCGAGCCAARGGCTGGTTCTTTTGTACAACACAGAGCAAAAAGGTAAACAGAAAATAGCTAAGGCAAAAATTACAACCTTTTGATCAAAGCTCTTAATGTTCAAAAATACAAAGAACCTGTTTGTGCATACAAGGTTATCTTAAGTAATTAGTTACGTAGTTGTGGGTGTTTCTCAGAGTACAAAATTCAAATTTTCCTGTTATTTTAGAAATCTGGAGAAATCCAAGAAAAAAAAATGCTGAGTTTGAACACTTGATATTGCAGGGAGCTGAGATCAGGATAGCTGATCAGCTTTGCTCTTACATGTGCTGTCTTTGCATTGCAATAGCTGTGGTTTTGGCCTTTCACTTCTGCATTTTGCTTGATTTACATATGTGGCTTTCTTAAGGTTAAACGCCCTGGAAGTGGCTGCCCTTTTTATTCTGCAGATATCTACAGTCTTTGGGGAGGAGAAGGGCTGCTCTGCAACGAATTCTCATCACTCTGAACTGTCAGTGAGGGCCTCTTTAAGGGGGAGCGTTAAACAAAGCCAGCAATCCAGGTCAGAGCAGAAAGCCTTGGCACTGCCAAATGAAATTCTGCCTCTTGGCACATTTTGCCTTGGGCTCTAGGAGGGCATCCTTCCAAGCCACCACCAACCAGCTCAATTCCCTGCTCTGTTTCCTGTGCTGTCCTCTGTAAGAGCAGCATTTTTGGCTTGCAGTGTGTAGCTGGAGAGCAGTATTGTTCATCTTGCTCTGTGTGGGTGTTTGACATGGCCAGTTCCATGCACAGAGTCCCCTGAAACAACACTCTTGCCGTTTCCTATGCTGTTCCCTCCTCAAAAGGCCCCAGCCCTCCTCAGAGCTCCCAGACCCCCGGGAGCCTTTCCTATATCCCGCTCCCTTGTCTCCCGACAGCCTGCTGCACCCGGAGGAGGGTCTGCATCTCTGCCGTGGCCCTGCTCGTCCTCGCTGCCCTCGCGACCATCGTGGGTTTGGCCGCCACGCTGGGACTTCTGCTGCACGTGCCAGGTGGGTCTCCCGAGGTTTATTGTATTTTGTTAATAGGAAATGGGCAGAAAATCATGTTACACATGAAGAGCCATAGTGCATCTGAGCACAGATCCCTCTGGCTCTCAGTCCTGCTTCCAACAGGCTGGTGTTCACTGCCAAGTGACTGAGGATAAGTTCAGGCCTTAGGTTATCTCCAGAATGACGAATTGCTGAATCCCCTTCCTTCTTGTTCTGCTCTTCAGAATGTGAACATGAAAATGTCTGAAATAACCTATTTCTTGCTTTCCCTTCAGTGAACCGTTTCTGTGCAGCCTCTAATAACCGGACAGGCTTCTTGTGCGATGACGGAGTGACTTGTGTCCCAGCCAGCCACGTSTGCAACAGAATCCGGGACTGCAGAAATGGAGAGGATGAGCAGGAGAAGCTCTGTGGTGAGCAGTTTTGTTATGAACATCCTCGCAGTGATGCTCTTCTGACAGTGAGGAATTTTTCAGCAGATCCGTCTGTGCCCTGTGGAGTTCAGCATGTTTCTTGTATCTGGTTTTGTAGATGACTTGCCCAGTAGCCTTCCAGGATACCTGGTGTTCCACTGCAGTAACCCTCTGTACTGGATCTACGCTGATCAGAGGTGTAACGGGATGAATGACTGTGGAGACTGCTCTGATGAGATGGAGAGCTGTAAGTCCGTCTTCTGGCTACCATTATACAAAAGGTTTTGGCTAATTGATTGAAATAGACTTTTAAGGGCATGGGACTCATTGATAGTGTTGGAAAATTCCCCTTTGAAGGCTAGTGTCACCCTCTAATACAGGAGTTAGCTAGGACGTGAGTAAGCAGCATGCACACTCCTTCATGTCACAGAGCAATCTGATGTGTAGCTGTAGCCAGCAACGATAATTCGGCACTAGCCATTGATCCTTGGTCAGTAGATGGGTATGTCCTGAAGGACCAGGGAGAACTGAATGTCCCTATGTGGTAAAGTGAACAGTTTGGGAGTTGTCTAGTGCATTGGGGTGCACCTTTCACTGCAGGTCGGTGCCTAAGTCACATGTGGTTTTGAACCTCAGTCAAGACCTGCGTGTACCAGTAGCTTTCTCCGGAGTAGCTAATCGTTCTTCGTAGTGTGGTACATCTGCCACGTAAGTCATCGTAATGTCAAGTGTGATTGTCCTCTAAATGTAGCATCAAGTGAGGATCCTCTGTGGCGGGTTCACAGCTGCAGAGTTGTCACCAGTGGCTGTTCCCTACTTCCCAAAAGGATGAAACAATTCTTCCTAGTGTAGGACAGGAGATAACTGGTCAGTGCAACAGGAACACCTCTGATCCCCATTTTTCCCCCTTCCCAGTGGCTGCCTGCCCTCCCTGTGGGTCTGAGTGGTGGAGCTGCACCCCAGTGCTCTACGAGTATTGCACCTGCATCCCAAAGAGACTGTGCCGGGATAGCATCCAGCACTGTGCTAGCTGGTCCGATGAGTATATCTGCAAGCCGTGAAGCCTGGATGTTGAGGGACACTGGATGCCTCGTGGCACGTTCTGCATTGTCACCTTTAAGCCTTGTTGTTGTCCTGCTGGCCACCCACTTGCTCTTGGAGTTCTAACCTAAGCACAGCCTGATTCTGGGACACCTTCACGGGTTGTGTGAAGGGGAGTCTTTTCTCATTTTAAAACAGGCAGCACAAATTCAATAAACCTGTTAGTTGTGGGAAGGCTGGAGACGGTCTCTGTGCTGGCAGCAGCTGGTGACCAGGTTCTAACCACAGAGCACCTGGGCTGAGGTGCTTCTGTATTGAAATGCTGGCTCCCTTAAGGAGAGTTAGATGCAGGGACTGCAAAGGTGGGTTGAGGTTTAGCCTAAATGGTAAAGCAGATCAAACTGAGAGATGTGAGCCTTTCTTGCCTTAAGTTTAGAGTGAGAAGGAAAAAAGGAGAGGAAAAAAAGGCAGTCAGAGTCTTGGAGTAGAGCAGTGAGCAGGGCCCCACATCTGCTGCTGGGGCAGCGGGGTGCACGGCTGGATCCATTCATTCTCGTTTCATTTCTGGGCAAGCAGGGCAGGATCAGAGAGGCAAACCTTCAAAGCAGTTTACAGGATTAAGATACAGACGTGCCATTGAAATTTAAGGAAGATTTGGTCTTTTTCCGTTCCTTAAAAAACCTCACGTATCCCAAATCCAATGTCTGAAACACAGATTTACTGTGAGTGCACTTAACTTTCCTGGGTCCAAAATAAACTTCAGGCAATATTCTTCCTACCACTAACCCAGGTCATGTATCTTTAAACGTGAAAACCAATTCATTCATTTCCTCTCTGTCCTGTGATCTGAAACTTGACATGTCACTCTGACTTGTATAAACTGTGAATGTTTGTTCTAATTTGTAACTGGGATCCAGCTATAGCTCTGAAAGCTCTTTTAAAAATGGCTTTTCTGTTTTCTGACKAATACTTTATTTCATGAGATGGTAAAACTATGCATTATAGATCAGGTACTACAGGGACCTTTTAAAATCTGTATTTAATTACTAGTTCTCTTTTATATGTGGCGAGGATGGATGTCTTTTTCTGTGTCTGTAAAGCAGTACTGCAGTGCGTCTAGTGCTAGAGCTCAGAAGAGAGGTTGAGTTTTGTGACATTTCTCCCTTTCAAGCTTCCACTCTCAATCACAACACGTAAGGGATGTCTGTTTCTTACTAGAAAATCCCAGTCACTTAACACTTTTAACAAAGCTGATTTGGAATTGGTAACTAAAGCCTGCTATTATAATCACTGTATCTCTCTTGTTACCCCAATATATGTTCTGTGGCAGTTGATGAGGGAGTATTGCACCTTCTTGTAGGATGAGCTTAAGAAGGGAAGATTCAGAGGCAGCATGAAGTCAGCCTCTCCTCTCCCCCCTCAGAAGAAGAGCTGTTTCACTGAAAACAGTCTGTCCCCATCGTCTTGGCACCTTCTCTCAAGATACTTGTACTGATCTGATCCCCTCTCAGTCTTCTCTTCTGCAGTTCCAGCTCTCTCAGCCTTTCCTCTTGAGAGATGCTCCAGTTCCCTCATCTCCACAGCCCTACACTGGACTTTCTCCAGCAGCTCCATGTCTCTTTAATCATCTGAGTTTCTGGGAGGAAATGTAGGGCTTGAAGGTGAGTGTGCCTGCTGTGTGGGCAGTCCTTTTGAGGAAATTTCAGCAACAAAGAAATGGAGTCTTTTCTCCTCTCTTCATGTGCCTTTGAATTGAAGTTCCTTAGGGTGGCATCTTTGTGGATTCTGAGGAGGTGCTGCTTTTCCTGCTGCTGAGCAGCAAGACAAATATGAGCAAGCAATGACAAACGACCATRAAAGGAAGATACTCTTTAAATAAGGACTAGTAGAGGAAACCCGTAGTAAACTCAGTGCCTTAAAGGACACTGTTCATGGGCACTCTGCACCTCAATCTGTTCTGAATGAATTCAGGCCTTGGCTGTTTTCCAGTACAAAAAAGCTAGTGTTAGAGCTCTATTTTCAGCTTTAGATAGACTGTGTTTGCTGCCCCAGTGACAGCTTTAGGCTGAGTATCAGAGTAGCTAGAAGATTTTCATTGTTAACAACAAGAAAACCTTTTCTCTGCTCATCTGACTTAAAAATCAGGAGTTGCAATTATTAGCCTCCTGTTCTTGAGCATGCAAAAACAGAGAAAGAAGAGCAGGACCAACAATTTTTCTGAATTATGTCTGTGTCAAAAGAATTACTTAAGGTTAAGAAAAAAACCCTTTATTTTAAAAATTAGGTATTCAAAATATACAGTAGTTTTATTATCCTTCTCTTTGACTTTAGCTCTACTCTCCCCAAGCAAAAGCAACTCACCACTGAATCACAGCAACCAGATTGAACAGTCCTGGTGCCCTTTGTCACTCCCTCTCAGTATTCTGTCATTAGCAAGAAAACTATCAAAGACCCACTCCTTTCTGAGTCAGTAGGTATTCAACAAATCCCAGTCCTCCACAGTGAGGCACAGATGCTTCTGTTTGKAAGTCCTTTCTCTCTCCTGTTCAGCCAAAACTCTTTTTTTATTGTTCCTTAATTCACGGCTGTCTGCAGTCTCCCTTTTCAGAGGTAAAGGGCAGTTTTGGTTTTCTTYCTTATAAAACTGCAAGCTTCCAGAAGCTTTTGTTTCTGTCTCCATCAACTTGCATTTGATTACTTCCTGTATTCTGTGCGTCTTGCCATCTACAGAGAAGGAAAAAAAAAAAAAAAAAAAGTTCAGATTTGGACCAGAAAAGGTCCTGAAAACTGCATGTTCATGTTGCAAATTGCTTTGACCGGGACAGTGTGAATGGAGACTGCTTTGCTTGGGGGAAAAAAAAAAATAGGGAAAAGAATATTTCTMTTTTGTACTTAGAAGTTTAAGGAGAGAAAAGAAGTTTAAATTCTATTATATGTGGCCTTAAGACCCTTGTCATACTGTTGAAGATTTATTTGCCTATGTAACAGAGAAATGCAAACATTATGATACAGCTGCACAGATGGCTGAAGTTACACATCTGAGATGCTGTTTGTACTGAGAGAAGATGTATGAAAAGATTCCCTGTAGGAAATAAGCTGTCTATGCAGTACATACAGAAGCGCAGAGCTGCTGTGCTGGATCTCAGATGTTCTTGTTGCTTCATGGCCTCCATAATTGCCTGCTCCCACTGCAAAACAGTCTGAAATGGAATTTGAAGGAGTTAAAAATGCTTCTTTGAAAGAGCTTAAAGAAATACTATTGGAAACAACTCATTCTGTACTGTGCTGTTCAGTACAGATTCCATACTACACATGAAGGATTTCTAGCGAGCAAAGCAGATCTAAAAGCCACATACCTGCTCTGCCCACCCCTCTGTTCTGCAGTTGCTGTGGTCAAATTCTTTCAGAGGCACTTTTGAGTGAACGAGGCCTAGGCGCATCTGGAGCCGCTGAATGACTGCATTAACATCCTAGTAAAAAGACAAAGCAGTAAGTGGGGAAGGTCAGTTGGTTATGAAGGGTTATGCTTGTCCAGGAAGCTTGCACAGAAGCTCTGCTTTACCTTGAGACCTGCGCCTGAAATATCCAAACAATTCAACTTCTTGAAAGAAAGGAGGTATCCAATTCCCACATCTGTGATATTAGGGTTACCTGTGAAGTCAAGTGAAGTTAGTGCAGTTGTGGAGGTGGAGACAGATGGTCACAATGCCAAGAAACAATTTCTTCCYAATGCCAATATTTAAACAAGAGAATTGGGGACCACGTTGTGATATGCTTCATGTTTTGAAAACAAGTAATTTTTTGATTTGTTCCATCAATATTAAAGAGAAGTTCTTCTTTAAAAAGATGGAGCCTACTTCTAATACTAAACCATGACGCACTTACAAGATAAATCTAGTATCAAAAGATTCTCAAGTCCCTTCTTCAGTACTCGTACGGGTGCTGTCATTCTGCGAAGGCCAGCGTCTGATAAACAGTTGTCTTTCAGGAGAAGCCTTTTTACACTGAGAAGAGAAAYGCAAATCCACAGTTAACAGTCGCATTTTTAGATGGCTTTACAAAATGTCTTAGAATTCTATGTACAAAGTATGGGCTCTTCCTGTGCTAAGCCTCAAATCTACTGTTTTGTTAGTATTACTAAAAAATACAAAATAAGAAACCTGGGTTCGTAGAGCTAGCAACTATTTTTGTATTCCCCTTACCTCCCAAACAATCCCAGAGCACAAAGAGTGGCTATCAAACAATAATGTTTTTAATAAATTAAAGTTATTAACTCAGGGCTGCTAATTTCAGCTCAGAAGGGGAAAAAAAACTGACAAAATGAGACAGATTATATTTGTAAGAGTTATGGCAATGACATTGAAAGAGACTGAGCTATTATGACACCTGAACAAACCTCAGAGAAAGAAAATACRTTTTTTAGAGCACTTCAAGACAAGCTTGATGCATAGCACAGTCTATGTTAATATCTGCTAATTATCGAGCAATTAGCCTGCCTATTGATTCCTCCAGCTTTCTACCTGTCAGTCTTTACTGTAAAAATTGCATAATTATTCTCTAAATGTTAATTAAGGAAATATTTAATGTAGTGCTTATAGCAAATCATTTGGCACATTAATTCAGTTAAAAAATTGGCTGATAAATTCCTCCCTAAAAAAAGAGGAAATAAAAGTCTAGAGCCGTTGAAAACTCCTAAGATGCATTTAAGATGGACAATGGAAATTWAAAAAAGCTGATTTGAAAGCATAAGACATTAGACCTGCATTTCTGTACTCTCATATTCGTAGCACCTTTTGAGATCTGGATTTTGTAGAACAAATTCTATACTTTATCTCAAGAACAGATTTATGAATCTAAACCTTTAAACTTGTATGTTGTTCCATTGAAACTTTTTTATAGAGCTGTAGCCAGATTGTTTGAATTGCTCAGTGATGGGAGAAGAAAATACCATGCTCGATTCTACGTCARGAAATTGGTACCTAGACAGAGCTTCTTTAGTGAGATGTTCCAGCAGTTCGTGCTCATCTCCAAGTTTGCAACAGGAAAGATCCAAACACGTCAGCTCCCGGAAAGACTTAATTTCTTCTAGCTTCTCAGAGATAACCAAGGATCTGTGAAGTGCAAAAAGTCATTCACATTTAGACATGTCAGAAGGGTCCTAGATGAGGATCTAGTTGTCACGAGTGTTAATGGGGTCATTGCACATTAATACCTATATGGAAACTGCCAGAAATTAGCCAGCCAGCTGCCTGTCTGGCCCGCAGTCCGCACATCTGAGTTCCCAGCCGTCTGCTTGAACCAGCATCGTGGTTCTGCTCTCGCTCAAACTACTGGACTAGGAATTGGACATCAACTTGCAAACASCGCTTATTTCAAAATAAAGCGGGATATATATTCTAGTTTATTTCACATCAGCATCCCAAATGGTCACTGGACTAAAATTAGGCAGTGTCAAACCTGGTATCTAGGGGAGAAAATAATTGCAGGGCGGCCCGGCAGCCGCTGGCGGGAGGCGGCCGCGGTGCTGGCGCGCTCACCTGTTCCGCAGGCACAGCGAGCGCAGCACCAGGCTCCCGTAGGCGGCCGTGAACTTGTGCAGCGCCCGCAGTCCCGCGCCCGGCTCCGTGAACTTCTGCCGCGCCTCCGCCGCCGAGAAGAGCCTCTCGGCGACCTGCTCCGGGAAGCCAGCGAGCGATTCCACGCGCTCCACGTTGTCGGAAACGTAGCCCAGCGCGAGGCTGAAGAGGGACTTGGCGGAGTAGCRCAGGCTGCCCTCCCTGGTGTAGGTGAAGATGAAGTGGTCGGTGCTCCGGCTCCGGGCGCCGCCGTCCTCGCCGCTCACGCGGRGCTCCACGGAGAAGGCCCTGGCCACGGCACGGCCCTCGGCGCCCGCGCTCACCACGTGCAGCCGCCCGTTCTCCCGCACGTAGATGGGGCCCACGTCCGGGTGGCCTTCGGAGCGGGGCCAGCTCCACATCCCGTGGCCGGCTCTGCAGGGACACGCCGGGAGACGGGTATGGAGCGGCACGGGGAAAGGCCCTGGATCCCGGCACCCCGGGGTGGGGGTGGGGAGACAGGCCCCACAGTGTGAGCCGGGGTGAGCGGAGGAGGAGGGTGAGGAAGGCTAATGGTTGCCTGCAGCGTGGCCTGGCAAATGGTCCTGGTGCCCGCCCCGGTGCCACCGGCGCCTCCCGGGAAGAAGGGGTGGGAAGGGGGGGTTTGGAGGGATCGGTGCCTGCCGGGGTTGCCTCGGGCCCGGGCGGGGGGCGGCGCTCCCGCCGAGGGACCGCGGGCGC